GCTGACACCCCCAGGAGACATTAGACAACCCAAAGGATTTCTGCCTCGCTCGCGCCGTGTGTGGCGACGATTGCCAGTCACGTCAGAAAAGGTGATCTGACTGCTCTGGCGACATACAGCGCTCCTTCTCCTGGTCTTTTCCTTTGGTCTTCTGCTGAGAGCGGATTACTTCCTCAGTGACTGACACCCAGTTCCTGCAAACCAAAGCATGAGACACCTGAGAATTCGCCACTTGCCCGTGGTGATTCACCCTCTGCCATTCCTTCTCAGTGACTCCCGTCAGTATTTCTGTTCCGACTGGAAAGATGCTAAGTGAGGAACTAACTATAGAGGAAGTTTTCACAAAGAAGAGTGCTTACTCAGTTGCTAAATTATCGCCACCTAATAAAGAAATGCAGCGCCCTGGCACTTGCCCTTGTTAAAAGTAATCTTAATTTGCTTCTGTTCCCTGCAAAACCTCTAGCGAGGGCCGTAAAGGGCAGTCAGAGGCAAGCGAGAGGAGCTGCTCGGGCGTCCATAATGTACGCCCTCTGTAGTGGAGCAAGCTGGGTGGCTTTGGTTTCCATCCAGAAACTACCAATTTGTGGTTTTATGTACAATCCCGTTACTGTGTGTTACTTCAAGAAACAAGGACGTGCCAAGCCAACCGTGGCACCGTTGAACTTTTTTGTGTAGAATGAGATCACGTAGACCCTCACCTGCAGGTGTGCACAGTGCTTTTCGAGTTTACTCCGGAAAAGTGGCACAGAAAGCCCCTCTCTCATGTTCTGTACGGTACGGTTAGTTTTCAGCAAGCGTGGCTATCCTGCAAAACACCTGCTGGAAGCAAAACTGGGTGGTAGGTGGAAGTTTTGCCGAGAGTCGTGTCAGAGTCCGAGCCAGCTCATCGCTAAGAGGTGTGTTTGTGTTCTGGTGGCGTTTGCAGTGTCCATTCCCACCATCCCCACTGATCCTCAGCACCGTCCAAAGAGCAGACAGGACCGTCTTAAAGGCTTTACAGGTATCTGGTACCGCCTTCTCTTTAGTTCTACAGAATGGTGGACTCACCTGAAGAGTAATCCAGAACTAGTGTACAGCAAGATTATGACTTCAATCTCGGGCAATATGCAGCTCTCAAGATAATCTTTAATCTTTTGCTACCAGATAATTATATGAAAATGGAGTCACCTTGGCAAACTGAGCGGAGTTGGATGAGCATCGCCGCTGTTACCATGTAACAGGGACAAACACAATCGGGAAGGGACGTTCTGGCCCTGGCAGGACTTTGCGCTGGAACAGGTCGCGGGCAGGTCAGACCACGCTAATGCCACATACCAAATACACACAGTCATGAAATACCTGACGTTAGTGTTCGGTAAAATTCTTTCCAAAAAATGATCCCTTGTTTAGCCAGAAATGAAAGGAAACAGTTACTCTTATTGTTCACATTATGTGGGGGCCCCCTTACAACGGGGCTCTGCTGGGTTGAATTCTTAGTATAAAATAAATGTTAAGCAGTGTAATATATTAAAATATCAGGAACCGGGATCTGAGACAAACACTGAGCCATGTCAGAACACCGTTGAAGACCACTACAGCACGTCCACGTTTAGGAGAAGCCTCCTATCCTGGCTGAAGTGTCTCTGACTGCGTGAGTTACTATACCAGCAGGAAAGCATCGCAAGGCATTTTCAGATAAAAACATAAAGTGAGGTACCTCAGTTCTGCCAAGAAACCCTCCCTCGAGAGACGCGCGCGCACACATGGGGCCAGCGAACAGAGCGCGACGTTCGGGGATGCACTGCGGGGGGGGGTGGGAGCTCAGCACTGCCCCGGCAGCGCCCGCCGCCCTGCCCAGGCTCTGCCATCTTGAGTTCCCTCCCCGCAAGAATGAGACGTGTGAAACGCAAACAGCCGGGCCGAGCCGCTGCGCGCAGCGATATTTCGTTGGTTTTTGTGCTGGTACAAGCTCGGTCCGGGCACTGAGAGCCGCTCTGCCTGAATTAAAGGGTGTTTTGGGGCAACAAGAAATGTCCCCGCTGGCGCGAGGCGTCTGCGCGATGCTGGGGATCGGCGGGGGGTGCCTGCCAGGGGCCTCGGCGCTGCTCAGCGCTCACCTCGTACTCAGTACCACTCATGTCTTACCCTGATGTGGCAAGAGACAGCGGGGTCATAATGATTTTGCAATGTCTTCGATTCCTGAAGTCTTTTTTTTTTTCCTTCAGAATTAAAATTTTCAGGACAGGGAGACCGATTTTACTGACATCTGTCACCAGGCACAGTTGCCCTTGGTTGCCGGATCGACAGCTTCAGAGGCTGCCAGGAGGAACGTCCAGCTAACAGACGTGAGGATGGAGCCCAGCAGCAACCTAAACAGACAGACGGTGAAAGCCAGCGTTAATACGCACAAGAATGGCAACAGAAGAGAGGGACGAGGATCCAGGTGAGTGGTTTTTTTTTTCTTGAAAAGCATTAGAGCAGGACGAGCGCGTGGGGCAGTCGTGCGTTGCCGCAGCGGCTGCGCCGAGCGTCGGGAGGACAGGGGAAGGCAGCGAGCAGCAGCCTCCTCCGGCTGCCTTTGTCTGGCTTGCCGGGACGTGGGCAGGGAGGGCCGGCAGAGGCGTACGGGCGGTAACAGGAATTGGGCCGTGCCTACGGGCTTCTGAGTGTTTCCAGCATTTCGTGATGGTTGATGACGGCTGTGTAGCTACAATCAACATTCCTGGGGTAGTCTGTCAGCATTATGCTGCTGGAGTGAAATTTAAATTTCATAAATAGGCCCTCCACCGTTACCGTGTTACTGATGAATGCTCTCCTCTGCTACCTCTTCTTACTGACAGAAGCTGCTGAGCTCCTCCTGGCTGAATCGTTATGCCTAGAGCAGCGCTATTGCAACTTGTCACTGATATTCTTTGAAGAAATAAATGGCTCTGGGTTCAAGGGGGTGGCAGTGGATGTTGTCTAGTGTCCTTGTAGTCGAATTACCGAGACACAGAGTGGAGAAGTGGTTGACGAGGTGGATGGAAAACTAGCCGGCCTGTCGTATTCAAAGGGCTGTGACCAGAGGGGTGGAGATGAAGTCCAGCCGATGGCCGGTTACAGGTGATCTCCCTTAGGGATCGCGTCTTGGGGCAGCACTGCTAAATGTCTTTGTTGGTGACCTGGGACAACGGGCTGGAGGACACACACAGCAACCAGGCCAGGGAGTGACATGCAGGAAGTCCCTCCAGGTGCAGAGGGACTTCAGCAGGCTGGAGAAGAGGGCTGACAGGCCATGACCATGACACTCGGCAGCGACCATGTCCAGCTCTGGGGACAGAGTAACCCATGCACCACTACCGGCAGCGGCGGGTGGCTTCAGCAGAGCGTTTGAAGAAGAGGACACGGGGGTTCCCGACGGCCGACAAGTCGGGCAGTGCCCTTGCGGCAGTGGGGCCAGAAGCGCCTCCGGCTGTGCTCATT